TGAGATGGGAGCTCTGCATTTATTGTATTGAGTTTAGTAATTATGTTATTTACTAGAGGTTCAGTGCACAAAATTTGTACATGGGGCAGGGTGTGCGGGGGGAGCAGGGAGTCCCTCAGCCCAGCCTGCACCCTCTCCAATCTGGGACCCCTTGGGGGATGTCCGACTGCCAGTCAGATATCCCTCTTGCAATCTGGGACCACTGGCTCCTAACTGTTTGCCTGCCTGCCTGCCTGATCGCCCCTAATCATGCTGCCTGGCAGCCTGATGTCCCTAACTGCTCCCCTGCCAGCCTGATTGCCCCTAACTATCTTTGCTTCCTGGCCTGAACTCCCCCTAACTGCTCCCCTGCTGGCCTGATCACCCCCTAACCCAGAGGTGGACAAACTTTTTGACTCAAGGGCCACAATGGGTTCTTAAACTGGACCGGAGGGCCGGAACAAAAGCATGGATGGAGTGTTTGTGTGAACTAATATAAATTCAAAGTAAACATCATTACATAAAAGGGGTTGGTTTTTTTTTTTTTTTTTTAGTTTTATTCATTTCAAACGGGCTGGATCCGGCCCGCGGGCTGTAGTTTGCCCACAGCTGCCCTAACCACTCCCCTGCCAGCCTGATCACCCCTAACTACCCTCCCCTGCTGGCCTGATTGCCCCTAACTACCTCTGCCTCGGCCCCTGCTATCGTGGCTTTGTCTGGAAGGACATCCGGAAGACGTCTGGTCTAATTAGCACATTACCCTTTTATTAGTATAGATTATAGTTCAGGGGATAGTTTTTAGAATCTAATTTTATTTGAAATAAATCAGTGAGCTATTTTAAGAGGCCCTTCTCAACTGTTTTTGACAAGAAAACGTTCTATGTAAAGACTCCGACTCCTGTCAAAATCAAGTAATCTAAAAAAGAAAATGTCATTTTACATGACACTTCTGGTAAATATTACTTCTCAAAATATAAACTGTAATTTATCCTACTGATTGTGAAATAGTAACACCGACACCCCTCAGCAAGGGTGACCGTGGCCATGGGTTACTTTGAAGAGTGGTAAATGGAAGCAGCCGATCGATGGTCCTCTCGCATCATGGATGTTTCCATCTCTCCCTCTCCCTTCCTCTCTGAAATCAATAAAAATATTTTTTAAAGATATGATGTGGAATTTAGGAATAAGGCCCAGAGAGGAGGACTTCTGGGTTTGCCCTAGCCTCTGTGTGCAAATAAAAAAATAACACTCCCTCCCCCCAGCACATGTACAGACACAAAGATCTTCATTGTCTAAGGTATCGTAGGCAAAATATAAAATGAAGATTTACACAGAAAATGTAGTTTTATATCATTTCCAAAGTTGAATTAATCTCCCTAATGGAGAATATCCTATTGACTTCCCCCCTTTTAACCTCAAACCCATACTCTTTGAATTGACCAAAAAGTTCCTTTCATGAAGTGAGACGCCTTTCAGGACCAATGCTGTGCTGTCCTACGATGACACCAATTAGTGTGAACCTGGATGCGGTTCAGTTTCTCTGTGTGAAGGTCAAGCTTATATTTGTACTCTAAAAAGCAAGGTTAAATGGCACTGCTATTTCAAATGAGCTGGTGAGAGTATCTAAGTACATAAATATTAATTAAGACTATACTGGAAACCCTGCTCTTTTGAATTTTAAGTATATGGATATTAATCCAAGTCATAGAAATTACACTTTTTTATGAGAATATAACGTATCATGTCAAAAACACTGTCTAAAATTCAAAATACCTGGCAAACTTAAGTAAGATAAAAGACTTAAAAGTGCCTATCTCTGCACCTCCTTCAGGAACAAGCACCCCCGCACACAGCAGAGGACACAGGAGCTGGAGTGCAGGTAGCTGCCCCCCACACTCTCCGGAAGGGGCTCCAAGAGCAATGACTGCGGAATTCACGTCCGTCCGCACCGGCCAACTGCACTGCACACCCCAGGAGTGCGCGCGCACTGCCTGTATCCCACCAGCGTTTAGTCAGGCTCATTAGACATGGGGAACAGAGTTGGGTGTGACCATTTCTTTTTCTATCTTATAATATGTTTAAATGATGTTATCCTCTTTTTAATTAAATAGCATCTGTGATATTAAATACTCCCTCTAAACACTAAATCAGGTGCCCCCCAGAGGAACTGATGTCTGGTACCTTTTCATCACTGCTTAACCCCATAGTTCCACCTGGCTATTTTTTATTGACTAAGTGATTGAATTTCCATGGTTAAGAGACTTCTCATGGCTATGTGTGGGTTAGTGATGTTTAAACGCCTCCGTGCCCTGGAACACGATCAGGTGTTGCAAACGTGCTGGAAACGCGGGGTGTCCTCGTTGGCAGGGTTGGGAGGCAGCGCTCAGGGGGGCGGCCAGTCCGCTGGGTGTCAGTCGGCCCTGTCCTTTCTGAGTTCATCTGTTGGAGCTCACACCCTCAGCGCGTCAGTCACATTTCTCTCTCAAAGTGGCGGGAGACTCGTCCACATGATCCGTGAATTCTGACAGTTGGCCCTAATATATTTTTAAGTTCACGTTACTAACATGATGCCATTTCTAAACTACTATATCTTTCTGGGTTATCACATCTTTTATTGGAAGCTAGAGAGCCTCCCTTTAAGTAATGCCTCACCTCCCCCCTCCCCAACTTGGGAAGATGGGTGTGTGCCCACAGTTCTAAGGAGGGACATTTCACCTGCACCCCGAGTAAACCAGGCAGCAGCGCCCAGCCCTCCGCAGCTGATCCAGGAGGGTGCTGCTCTGTGTGGGGATCTGGGTTCCCTCCCCCTCCTGACCCTGACCTCACTGTGACCTCTGCTGTCTGAGGCTTGCCACCCCCCTACCCCCATCAGTGGCTGCAGTTTATAGATATCCTCTCTGAAGTCCAGTTTCTCTGAATTCCTGGTGCACAAACTTTTTTCACTGTTGTCAGCACAGCCATCCTTCACAAACACATGCTTGTGTTTAATCCAGGTTTGTAGCTGGGGTGTGGGAAGGGTTTGTGGGCGGGACCAGAGCTGCACTGTCACCTGATTTATACGGATTCCTCTGCCCTGATATCCCAGGAGAGTGGGAGATGCAACAAGCGACAGCCATGATGTTCTCCCCCTCTCCCCCCACAGTTCCCCCTTTGGCCGATTTGAGTTAAATCTTACAGATGCAGAACTGTCTACTCTTCTGTGACCCAACCCTGCCAACTAAGCTCAAGGTACGAGAGGCAGGCAGACTGACTGTGATGGGAGGAGATTTCTAAAGACACTCCCACTGCTGAAGAGATGCTAAGGAAACCACAGCGTTACGCACACCAGAGGATATGGCCTACCATCATTATTATTAGAGTAGTTACATCTGCATATCGTCCTATATAATAAAACACTAATATGCAAATTGACCAAAAGGCAGAACAATTGGTTGCTATAATGCACACTGACCACCAGCAGGCAGATGCTCAATGCAGGAGCTGCCCCCTGGTGGTCAGTGCACTCCCACAGGGGGAGCACCGCTCAGCCAGAAGCCGGCTCACAGCTGGTGAGCACAGCAACGGCGGTGGGAGCCTCTCCTGCCTCCGCGGCAGCACTAAGGACCCCTCAGGGGATGTCCACCTGCTGGCTTAGGTCCGGTCCCGGACTGCGTGAGGGCACAGGCCAGGCTGAGAGACACACACCCACCCCCGGCCCCGTGCACGAATGTCATGCACCGGGCCTCTAGTGTGTACTATATGATACACATACTGCATCTGTGTGCACGCGCTTGCAGGTAACTGTACTTAAGAGTTCTCCCTGCAAAGCATGCCCTTCAGTTTCATCCCGCAGCAAACACAGGACTGAATGAAGCGTGACTGCTGCAGGCAGTGACACGGAGTCACTGACTTGTTCAGGATTTGCTTCAACAGCAGCCTGCCTGTGGCCCCAGCCCAGCCCGATGGAGAGGGACGTCACATGCTCCCCACCGCTCTGTATCCAAGCCACCCGCAGGCGGGAGAGGAGGCGTCTGAGGATCGAGCCCGAACGCCGCACCTGCACCTGTTGCTACTGACAGACCTACTTCGACTAGAAGACACGAGCCGCTGGCAGCAGCCGTCTGTGAACTCGCAGTGCCGTTTGTGTTGGCACCAAGGCTGCATTCACGGCTCAGAAAACATATCCTCAGGTTGTGATGGCCCCAGGGACTCTCGTGGTAAAAGGTATGACAGGCACATTGCAAACGTGACCACAATGATGGCACTGTTTCTAAGGTGACTGCAGTGCTCAGGGTCTCGCTGGAGAAACACCTGCTCTGCAGGAAGCCCGGGGCGCCCGCTGGCACGGGGACAGAGGGGTGGCTCCGGGGAGCTGGTCACCCTTCTACCTGCGTGCAGTGCCCGGTGTCAGAAAACCGCCACTGGAGGCGGAGGGGCAAACAGAGCGTGGCTGATGACACGGGATGCAGTACAAGTCTCGCGGCTTCAGGAAACACATCCACACCGTGTCTTTGTTATTTTCCTTTGCCAGGCCTGACCCCTTCTTGTTCACATCCCATGACTATCACTCTGTAAGGCAGCGGTTCTCAACCTGTGTGTCGCGACCCCTATGGGGGTCGAACGACCCTTTCACAGGGGTTGCCTAAGACCATCGGAAAACATATATAATTACATATTGTTCTTGTGATGAATCACTGTGCTTTAATTATGTTCAATTTGTAACAATGAAATTGGGGGTCACCACAACATGAGGAACTGTATTAAAGGGTCGCGGCATGAGGAAGGTTGAGAACCACTGCTGTAAGGAGTCAAATGGTTGCGTTCTGTCACAGTCACCCAGAGCGGCGCGGTCCCTAGGAAGGTGACCCTGGAAGGCAGTGACACGGAGACGTTTGGGTGCATGTTAGAGACACTTCCGAATCTTGCACCACTTTTGGCGAATGTTATCGACGGGAGAAAAGCCAGCATGTTCATCTCTCAGGTCATTTCCTCGTGAACATGGGAGATGCCACCCTGACAGAGGGGGAGCGGGAGGTACTTACTGCGCTTGTCCCGGGGCAGCCTGGCGACTGGCACTCACCCCTCATCCGCTTCGGGATCAGGACGTCGTCCCAGCAGGACGGGCCCTTTGAAGAGAAGCAAACACATCCTTGGTGCACTAATTGTCATGAAAATGTTCTCTCGCGTGAATACAGTCTGTGAGGTCTATATTATAAAGTGACAATGGAGTCAGTGGGCCCCAGTGACTTTCAGAGTGCAGTCCAGAGATGCTGGGCGTCCTCGGGACCCATTTTCACAGCCATCCTAGGATGACCTTGGGCACGCTGCTCCAAACACATCGGTCACTTACTTGTGGTAACCGCCTCACTGCAGTCCAATTTAATTGCTTACAAGTTTAAATAAACTTTTTTTTCTTACAGTTCATTATAATTTCAACTGACAAATTTTAAAAACATTTTTTATCATAATTACTATTTTATTTTAGAGAGGAAGGGAGAAGGGGAGAGAGAGAGAGAGAGTAAGAAACATTGATGTGAGAGAGTAACATTGTTCCCTTGCCTCCCACAGGAGCCCCTACTGGGGACGGAACCCACAACCTGAGTGTGGGCCTGACTGGGAACCGCCAGGCATGGGCCCGGGTGCATTTTATCACCTCAAAGTCCGTGATGATGAAACTCTCTGGGCAAATTGCCAACATGAATCTTTCATGCCTTAATTCTTCAGAGTCCAAAAAGCAACAGAAATATCTACGTGAGAAGTCCTCAAACGAATGGTCACCTAAGTTACCACTTTATTTCACAAAACTCACTCACACTTTCCTTTTTGATCTCAAACCATAACAAAATAATATAAGTAACTAGGGGCCCGGTGCACGAAATTTGTGCACT